CGGAAGTGGCGCTGTGGCTCAAGTGGTAGAGCGCTAGCCTTGAGCTGAAGAGCTGAGGGACAGCGCCCAGGCCCAGAGTTCAGGCCCCATGACTGGACCCAAAAAAAAAAAATTAAAAAAAGAAGACAGCAGGCAGCCCTAGCTGCGATCTCCAGGAGCATTGCTGAATGGGCTTCGCTCTGTGTGTGTGTGTGTGTGTGTGTGTGTGTGTGTGTGTGTGTGCATATGTGAGTGACACTGGGGCTTGAACTCAGCGCCTGTTTGCTGTTCCTTGCCTTTGGTTTTTGCTCAAGGCTAATGCTCTACCACGTCTGGGTTTTTTGCCAGTTAATTGGAGATAAGCATTTTACAGACTTTTCTGCTCCATGTGACTTTGAGCTACAATCCTCAGATCTGTTTCCTGAATAGCTAGGATTGCAGGCGTGAGCCAGCAGTGCAGTCTGAGGGGCTGAGACATAAGAAAGCAGTCCAAATACCGTATTGACTGCTGCTTTCGACTCCCTCCGGCTGTGTGGATTTGGAGCAGCCCGTGTCTGACCTGTCTCCTTTTCTTCTTGCAGAAACCTTACCACACGGCAGCGTGTGTGGGAATGGTAACAGCCACTACTTCACCAACCCCAGCTACCACACACTCACCCAGCGTGCTGCCTCCCCCCACTTTAACAACAGGGAGACGCTCACCATCGCCAAGGTGAGAGGTGCTGGTGGGGGGGAGCTAGCATAATGAAGACTGCCCTAGGTAATTCCCATGTGTGGTCCGCACGATTCTGCTAGCGGTCCTCTGGACGTGTCTCAGCGCCTCCAGTGTAATAACCACATCCTCAGAAATGGGGACCCCTGGTGACTAGCTGGTGAGTGAGGCAGCTGCCATGAGAGGCCAGGCTCCATATCTATCCACCGTGGGTGTTACTTCCATGACACCTCCGTGGGAAAGTGCTCCTGACCCTTTTATTTGGAGGGAAGTGTCTCATAATTGCTGGTGCTCTACCATGTGAGCCATGCTCCCAGCTTTTTTGCTTATATTTACTTTTCAGATAGGGTCTTCTTTTTTTTGTCTTGAGGGACTTGGCCTTGGACAGTGATCCTCCTACCTATACTTTTCACAAAACCCAGGTTATAGGTCCACACCAGCACACTCAGCATATAGGCTGATATGAGGTCTTCCTAAACAGATCCTGGGGCTAGCCTCTAACTGTGGCCCTTCGTATCTCTGCTTCTCAAGGATTTAGGATTACAGTAGTATACTACCACACTCACACGGAAAATATTTCTAATTTAACTTAAGATTGTAAAATAAACTATTGTGACATTCATTTTTAATTTTGGCTTTATTGCCAGTTGTGGGGCTTGGATAGTAATTTAAAAAAACCTTAAAGACATATAGCAGACTCAATCCTGAATAAAACCATCAAGTTTGTCTTTCCTGCTTAGCTTTCTTCTAGTACCCTTTCCAGTACCCTTTCCTAGTCCTTTTACTTTAGTGACAACAATAATACACATTTGTATGGGTTGAATCATATCTGCTACTTTTTCAAAGCCCCAAGTGGCCAAATAATAATAAGCGAATACTGCACACCAAGCATTTCCAGTCACCTTGCAAGAGGAGCTTGCTCCATCTTCGCAGCAATGTCACACCTGCTGGTGTGACTACTACCCCATTTTACAGATGAGGAAGCCAAGTGGAGGAAGGCTGGAAACTCCAGCTGTACCCTTCAATTCTTCCCACAATTCTCTGGACCCACACACGTCGCGCTCTTCCCATTGTACCCAAATAATGCTTCCAGTTTCATTGTAAGTCTCATCACTCTTCACTTCTCCATTAACTTAATCTAGAAAAAAATGAGCTAATTAATTTAATCCAGTTGTCATTAAATTAATGCAGCTAGACTTTGATTACAGTGCTGAGTGGTTAAATGGCATTTCTCACTCCGGAGATTCAGCTTCATCATTCCCCTTGTCCTCAGGCAGATTCAGGGAAGTTTGTGTGTCTTCCTGACACATGAGCAATATCACGCATATTTTAATGGGAAACCTTAGATCCAGAATTCATCCAGTGTCCGATTCGAAATTCCATGTGCAGAGACCCAAGAGAGGCACTCTATCGTATGAGGGTGTGGAAGGAAGAGCTTCGGTGTGGAGACAGGGCTGGGGTGCAGAAGGCAGGTTCTCTGCCTCCAGGAGTCGTGGCCTCTCACCTCCAGGCTGGCTTAGTGCCCCGGACTTGCTTTTCACCAGACAGGTAGTGCACCGTGGCACACAGTGCTGCCTTTTTAACATGTCTACCGTTTCTGTGTCTCCTAGGCAAAGAACAACCAGCTGTTTGTGAATCTTAAAAGCGTGAACCCTGGGAAGAGAGGCCCCGTGGTGGACTGTGCCGGGACGCTGCCTGCGGACTGGAAGCAGGGCGGCTACCTCAATGAGCTCGGTGTGTGCGGCCGGTGCCAGCCGGCGCCCTGCATGAACCCAGAGGCCTCCTTGGAATGGGCACCAAAAGCCCAGAGGATGGGATTCTGTCTAGCACCTCCACGGGGCATGCTTGATTTGTGTAACAAATGCTTTCTGAGTTGTGCGTGTGCGTCAGGGATTGCTAGACCAGCAGCTCTCTGCCCGGCAGTGCTGCGTTCTAGCTCCTCTCTTCCCTCTAAAGTTACAAAATTACTCTGCTAGGTCATCATCTCAGGAGGCCAGTTGGAGAAATGGTGTCCAGGTTTAGGGCCTATCGTCTGGGCAGGATTGGTGGCGCAGGTGCATGACTCGAGGACAAGATGACAGAATATGACCCAACCCACCATCTCCCACAGCTTCTGCCTCAGATCCAAGTCAAGCAAACACTTCTGTGGGTAGAATTTCCAGGGAGTTAGGGATCATGTCTCAGAAGCTGAGAGCAAAGACTAATTTTCTCTTTGGTAAAATTTCTCTTTCTTTGCTACAAACCCTTTTATCCTGCCTCCTTATTTAACATTATGCCTCCCCCATCAACTTGGAGCTAGGCTCGATTGCTAGTAACCCAGACCAAGACAATACACTCAAGGGAGAAAATAATATTCCCCTTTTCTGTTCCACCGTGGCTGGTATTAGACTTGCCTTCTTCCTTCTCTTTCTCTTTATTCAGTGTTCCCAGTGGGCCATCAGCATCTGAACCCGAGTTTAACAATCACTTGAAGAAGTATATCATTGAGGTGGCTATTATTTCGTCAATATTCTCACATACTTACTTGGACTATTCATAACAAGTCATTATTACTCCTGACTTTTAACTAGGTGCTGATTGACCTAGAAAGAAATATGATATTCCTTTTCATCAAAGGTCCCTTGAATGACTTTCAAATGGGCTGTTTCTTGAGTGTGTGCCCCTTTAATTGCCATTCATTGATTTGGTGCTTTGAGATTCACAAAGCTTTTACCTGAGCCATACTTCCCTAAACGATGACAACCACCTTGGATGGCGGAAGACAGGTTTTGTATCCCCCATTTGAGAGATGCTTAGAGTGCTGAACAGCACGGCAGAAACAGCATGACTAAAGAGCGATGATACCCAGTAGAATTCCTGATTCTAGGTTAATGCTAACAATGCACCAAAACCAGGTGGTGTAACGGGCTAAATAAGGAAGGGTCTCTGGTCTTCTTAGTAACATTGTGGATACATGCATCTGTGACTGAAGTCTTTTCTTTGTGATACCTGTGAATTCATTGGTTTAAGCAAATGGTTGCGTGTGTTCTGTGACAGCATACTTCATGTTTCCCAGTGTGAGCAGGAGTAATTTTCCTTTGGCGACCCCTACCCCTTTGAAGGTCAGATCTAAAACAAGAAAGCTATGATGCAGCCACTAGGCAGGCTCAGACCCCAATCGATGCCCCCACATCTAGAAATACCAAATTGTTAAGATAAAAACTGCATACAAACAGTCAAGATCTAGGACTGGCCTGTAGCAAGTTACCCAACAATGAGTATTTGATGTTTCCAGTTTTCAGAAAACATTCTTACCGTGGAGACAGTAATATCCCAGTTAGTGGGAAAAACCATCAGGGCTTCCTAAGAGCTGCCCTTGTAGGTCAATTTTCAGTTCTAGCCTTGGCTATGACTTTCCTTCTCTGCAACTTTGAGTCATATACATTGATTTAACACTCCCTAGGTGTTCCTGAGTTTATCAGCCTTTCCTGGAGCTCTTATGAAAGAGCAAGTGATGATCATATGTGTGTGTGTGTGTGTGTGTGTGTGTGTGTGTGTGTTACACATGTTTATGGTAGTGGGGTCAGTAGCTGATTAGCCCCTTTGATAAACATTATAGTGGGAAGATTGTCACCCACCACGATCAAGATTGTAACCCACCATGATCCTGGAACTTTAGGTGGGTTTTCTCCTCCTTTCTCTTCTCACAGGGTGATTTTGTTTTTCTTTCTTCATTACAGGTGCTTTTGGACTTGACAGAAGCTACATGGGGAAATCCTTAAAAGGTAGGGTATATAGTTGAGAATGAAATGTTTATATCAGAATCACAATTTTAAGAATTATCTCACAGGCTTTTTTTTCTAAACAAAGCAAAAGCGCAGTGTAAAGATAATTTAAAACTGTCAGCATGGTAAATTGCTATGACACACAAACCTGTTTGACATCAAGAGAGTGACCATAGGCAGATCTTTTTAGAACAAAAGTTTTGGTTAAAAAAAAAAGTTTGTTTGCAGTGGAAATACTCATATTGTCTTTAAAAGAAATTAGGGTTATAGGGAGAGGAATACATAAAATATAAAATAGCCAGGAAAATAAGAAGATCTCAGCATGATGATGTGTTTACTAAGGGCTGCTCTTCTGGACGTGTTTGGATGTAGGTTCCCTAATATAGAAGCATAGAGAAAGATCTTACAGTACATAAACCATCTTGTATCTCAAGGTCATCAACTGCTGGTTTCTAGATTGAAACCTTTGTAAAGTCAAAAGCTTCCACTAGGACATTTTGTATTTGGAAAACAGAATGGGATTAACTGTACTTGAATATGAGCATTAGAATCAAATCAGCCCATGGATGTCTCTTAAAGTGGAGGTAAAATGACTTTATGGATGTAAGTGTAATCAGTGAGTAATTTTATAGCATTTTCTCTCCAAAAGAAGCAGAAAATATGTACCATTGGTTTCAACAGATCGAAGTATAGGGAGCTAGCTATAAGAAAAAGACAACTTGCCAACACCAAAAAACAACGCTCAAGAAACAGCATTTGTGTTTTCCTCCCGTCTTCCATCACAGATCTGGGAAAGAATTCTGAATATAATTCAAGCAACTGCTCCCTAAGCAGTTCTGAAAACCCATACGCCACCATCAAAGACCCGCCAGTGCTACTTCCTAAAACCTCCGAGTGTGGCTACGTGGAAATGAAGTCGCCAGCGCGGAGAGATTCCCCCTATGCCGAGATCAATAATGCAACCTCAGCCAACAAGAATGTTTATGAAATCGGTGAGTGCTCACAGCCGTAGCACTGGGCACACGTGATTGGCTTCCACACAATGTTAAATGGCCCGTATTTTACATGCAAACTGTGTTCACAGGAATCACATTAATCAAGGTGAAATTTATTTCTCGGGAAAAATACCATTTAGCCAATTTAAAGTCCATCGGCTAAATCTTCTACCTATTCATCCACCTTTTATTTTGTAACCACAGTAAATGTGTATCATATTAGCTCACATATCAAGTTAGCCAAAACAAATGGTGTGCCAGGCACCAGTGGCTCACTCCTGTAAGCCTAGCTACTCAGGAGGCTGAAATCTAAAGAGGGAGTACAGTTGGAAGCCAGCCTGGGCAGGAAAGTCCATGAGACTCTTATCTCCAATAAACTACTCAGGAAAGGCCAAAAGAGAAGTGGTGCTCTGGGTCATGTGTTAGCGCTAACTTTGAGTAAAAGATCAAGGACAGTGCCCAGGCTGAGTTCAAGCCCCAGGACTGATTTTAAAAAAAAAAGGGGGGGGTGAGCAGGTGGCTCATGCCTGTAATCTTAGTTACTCAGAAGACTGAGATTTGAGGATTGCAGTTCAAAGCCAGCCTGGGCAGGAACGTCTGTGAGACTCTTATTTCCAATTAACCACCAGAAAACTGGAAGTGGTGCTGTGGCTCAAGTGGTAGAACACTTGCCTTGAGCTGAAGAGCTCAAGGACAGAGCCCAGGCCCAGAGTTCAAGCCCCACCACCAACCAAAAAAAAAAGATGATCACATGGTAGGTATGAAGAAATCAAGGGAATATGTGGAAATATAAAACATGAGTCATTGTCTCAAAAAAAATGGTTTCAGTGGACTATGCAGGTGATTCCTTTCCTAGTTGGATGTTATATTAATATGGTGCTTTCAGTAGAATAGGAACATTTAAATTGTCTAATAAATCAAAAATATTCTCAAATGTGAATCTGCTACATATTAGTAAGAATTTGATTTAAAATCATAGTTATTTGGAATGCTCTTTGTGAATTCCTTTTGGGAACAGATAAAACATACCACATTTGCAATTGGCTAGATAGTTGGACTATATTTTACTTTCTCTGTCATTCTGTTTCCTCTCTCTCTGATTCTCTCATAGTACTTATGATTTTTAACTCTAAAAATGAAGTGGACAATTTAATGCCAGTAATTTGCTTCAGGACATATAATGGAAAATAATGAAACCATTTACTTTTAAGGAATTAAGACAGATTTTTAATGTGGAAACTGTGGTGGCATTACTTTCTTTATTTTAAATTTGCAACTATTTCCCTTTAAATTGTCTGGTAAGCCCATCACAGGAGAATGCGAACTCGCTGCAGAATGACAGCCTCGGTATTATGAACATGAATTGAGTTACACTTTAAAGTCTTCTGAACTCTGAATCAGGGATTTAAACTAAATTATTCTCAAGGGATTTTTGAGACAATGATTCATGTTTTGTATTTCCACCTATTCCCTTGATTTCTTCATACCTACCATGTGGTCATCTTTTTTTTTTCTCTCTCTCTCCCTGGTCTTGGGGTTTGAACTCAGAGCCTAAGTCCAGTCCTTGAGTTTCTTTTGCTCACAGCTAGCACTCTACCACTTGAACCACAGTACCACTTCTGGCTTTTTCTGACTAGTTTATTGGAGATAAGAGTCTCACAGACTTTCCTGTCTGGATTGGCTTCAAACTTCAATCCTCAGATCTCAGCATCCTGAGTAGCTAGGATTACAGGCTTGAGCCTCCGGTCCCCAGCTTTGTGGTCATCCTTTCATTCAGAATACTATTTGTGTGTGTGTCAGTTGGTCCAACACTATAATACCCACTGTTTTCATAACTGTGAATGTACTGTGTACATATCGGTGGTAGTGAGGACTGCACTCAGGGCTTCCAGGTGGAGAGGCAGGTGCCACACCCCAGCACTTTCTCTGTGCTGATTATTTTTGAAATAGGGTTGTCCCACTTGTCCAGGTGGGCGTTTACATGCTGGATCACAGTCTGCCTATTTTAGGCTTCCATTGTAACTAGAATGACAAGCACATGCCACCATGCCCAGCTCCTGTGGGAGGAAGAAGGGATCTCACGGACTTTTCTGCCTGGGCTAGCCTCTACTGTGAGCCGTTCAATCTCAGTGCCCAGCAATACAGAGGTGGGCCACCAACACCAGGCTCAATCGTATTTGGAAAATAGTATTTTTCCGTATATTCTTTATGAAGATATATATTATGTGTTTGATAGTTGCAAGGAGTACCATCTTTTTTGACCATCTTTTTCCTTCCTGATATATTAACATGTCCCTGGTTCTCCCAGAACCTACAGTGAGTGTCGTCCAAGGAATATTCAGCAATAATGGACACCTTACCCAGGATCCATACGACCTGCCAAAGAACAGTCGCATCCCTTGCCACTATGACCTGCTGCCAGCCCGGGGCAGTTCATCTTCCCCTAAGAGAGAGGATGGTGGCGGCGGCAGCAGCAGCAGCAGCAGCAGCAGCAGTGAATGACGCCAAAGGACCACTGGGTGACCCAAGAACTCTTCCCAGAACTGCAGTCCAGTTCTTCTCCCTGTTCAAGTTTGCCGCCTTTCATGAATGTTAATTAGCTTGGTAGGCAATTGCCGGATGCGATCCGGAAAGCTCACAACCAAGGCTGCCGCTCCGTGTAGGTGATCTCTGGGAGGGCGGAAGGAAAGATACATCATCATGATTTCCTCTTGCTAGTAGTTTTAGCGCTGCACCATGAAGCATGACTTTTTGGAACATGTTGGCTAAAAAGATGAACTTGCATAACGCCTTTGAAGACACCGGCTGGATCCCTGCGTGGACCGTTTGAATACCTTTTCTCATTTGCATCGTGGAGCTATACCTAGGATTGTGCAGTTTTCCCTAAACTCACTTAGTTAAAAAATGGGAATCATTAAACATGGTGAAGAGATGAGGCATATAATATTGAGTCCTTATTGCTTAGTTGTTGTTGTTTTGTCCAAGTTGGGCTCTGACTTTACAAGGATTGTTCAGGGAAAGTCTTCGGTCAGTGGCAGGACTGGAGGAACTCTGAATAAACACTAGCCGTGGTCAGCAAACTTAAAGATGAAAAACTTTAGTTTTCTTAGGATGAGAAAATGTACAATTAGAATTGTTTTAGGAATAGTAAAGCATTGCAAAAATCAACACATAACTGTGCCAGGCACAGGCTTGTCTTTCCCTGTTTGACCCTTGGCCCAGTTCAGACCCGTGATGTTTATCTGCTCATCACCTCCGTCATACACAGCAGCTACGTGGAGGTCATCACATATCAGTGATTGTTTCAGAAATAGACAGGTAAAAGCATTTTATTTTTGAAAGACTAGATCCAATTAATGTGTAATGCCTGGCAACAGTTGTAAAGTTTAAGCATAAGAAGATGCTTCATACATGCTGTAATATAGAATTAGCAGGAAGGTTTGATTAATGTTTCCCTAGACATTTCCAAAGTATTTTTATGCATTTTATGGAAAAGGGCACTTTCCTTTTTATTAATTGTTGATGTAGAGAAACTATGCTTAAGCTGGTCTTTTGCATTGCTAATATGACATGTATCCCCTTTGTCATTAATTTGTGTTTTCATTAAGTTGTATATTCTATGTTTTGTAGTGTTTGGATTGTTCATGAAAAACTATTATGTGTTCATTGTTTCTTGTATTATTGCCATTCAGCTTCTGCTTGATAAAAATGCAATGCAGTTTTTCTTTTGGAAGGAAATGAAAATACATAATTTGAACCTATTAAAGTTGGCCATTACTAAAATAGTACAATAACCACAAGTGAATGGTTTTTGAGTGAATGAGAAAGGATTCTGAATATTCCAAAATGCAGCTCCTTTCCATGTGGTTTCCCTGAGTCTTGGTCGAGCCCAGGGCATGATGAGTGCTGAGCACTACAGACTGATCTCGCTAGAGACCTGCACTGTGATGGTCACATACATACTTGTCCATTAAATCTGGGACACTTGCTAGCAGATGAGGCATTGTTAATAATTCTGCAGTGAGCTGAAATCCATACTGTTCTAAATAAGCCACCATAACGCTGATGCTGCGTACACTTATGTAATAACATCTTTCAATTCAAGGTATTTATCTCATAAGAATGCCAAGGTAGTGTAAAAAAAACCAGTTTCTCTTTCTTTGATCTACTTGAGCAAGAAGAACGGCAGAATGAAGAGACAGCTTCCTAAGAGAAAACAGTACTCTTGAATCTTTTAAAAACCCAAGTCCTTTATAGCACTACTTAAAGATAATAATAATTAAGAAAAAACCCTGAAGGACATTCTTTCTGAGTCAGCTAATAATTATATACTACATACTTATCTATAGACAGTATCCAAAGAGCATGGTCCCTGCCAGCTTTTGAACTGGCATAACCAGATATTTCATGTCACACACCTGTCCCTGTGATGGTGGCTTGTCTAAACAGATGGACAATACAATAAGCACACCTGTGGCATTTAATTTTTAAGAACTGCCAAGTTAATCAAGGAAATGCAGAAGTGCCTGGAATTCACTTTACAAGTTATTCTAATAGTTAATGACTACGTTCAGTGAGCTGAAACATGTGTGGCTGATAGCTGAAAGGTTTCTTTTCTGATAAGGAAAAAGAGAGACATTTTCCTCTCCTTTCTCTTTTAATCCTGGTACCAGGAGTTGAATTCACTACTTCATGCAGTCTACCACTTGAGCCACGTCTCTAATCTAGCATTTTTCCTGATTAATTGGAGGTAAAGTCTTGTGGCCTTTTCAACCTGGGCTAGCTTTGACCTTTGATCCTCAGATCTTAGCCTTCTGAGTAGTTAGGATTACAGGCATGAGCTACTAGTGCCTGAAACCCTTCTTTTTTAAGGATCATCTCTTCAGTGCTCCATGGTAAATTTGAGTTTCCCCATCCTATTTCTCTTCTCATTCCACAAAGAAAAAAGAAAAGTTGCGATCACTTGAGCAGAAACAGAGCGGATGTGAACTCCAGCGATTGTGATGCTTAGTGTTCAAGGCCACTCTTTGTCAGACTCCACTTGGGGCTTTTCAGTTGTAAGAACACGTCACACCTTGGACATTGTAAAAACTCTATGTTATATTTAGAAGGAAGGAAAAACTTCCTGATATTTGGATATAATTTCTCCCTTATATCCTATCATGGTAAAAGCACTGAATGAGTTTGAGGATTACCTTGCGAGAGCCAGTCATATAAAAGCGTGAGCCATGCTGTTATGTTTTTGCCCAGAACTTGCCCAGATGATTACATATGCTTACTTTAATAATAGGATGAGATAAAAAAATTCCATCATTATTTACACCACTTCACATTAGTGCCCGTCATGTGGCGTAATGTTAATAGCATCTATTATGTTTGGCATTGTATTTGTGGAACTTAATTTACCAATTTTAGAAAAACCAACCATAGCATTGCATAATAGAACAGTATGACTTGTCTCAAGGTAATCCATTATCACAAGCAATGTATGCTGGGAAAAATGCAAACAACTGTATGAATATGTTATCACCTTGATCGTTGTCAGCCACAATAGTAGTCAATGATTGGAAGGTTTTACTAAAAAAAAAAATACTTTAAAAGTTGAAGGAGAGTATCAGGGTACCAGTGACTCATTCCTGTAATCCTAGCTACTCAAGAGGCTAAGATCTATGGATCCCATTTTGAAACCAGCCCAGACAGGAAAGTTTGTGAGACTCTTATCTCCAATTAACTAGCAAAGCAACAACAACATAGACAAAAGACAGAAGTGAAGCTGTTGCTCAAGCGATAGTGCGCCATCTTTGACAACCCGAGATCTTGAGTCCAAGCCCCGGGACTGGCCACACACAAAGAAAAGTTGAATAAGGGTATCACAATGCTATTTACAATCCATGTGGATAGTAAAAGTTCACTGTAAACTTAAGATTGTCGATAAAAACAAATTTAGGGTTATGTTTTTAAAAATAATTAATGTGTTACCATTGGTAACACATCTTTACTCTTCAGATTAAATATTTAAGACCTATTTTGGTCCTAAAGGTTTTATGTCACGGAAGTGTATGTAGCTATGCAAGTGTGAATCACATGTATGGATGGGAACTTCTTTTCTAGGGATGTACACAGGCAAGCTTTACAGTCCTGTTGATACAGGGTCTATGTATTCACACTCAGTATTTGATCTGGGCTTTATTTTGATATGACCAAATCAAACCATGATATATATTTTTATAAGAAAAAAAGGCAAAATGCATTAGGATCTACTTGGATATAGCAAACAAAAGAGGGCTTCTCATGCTGAAATACCTTATTTTCCAATGATAAACTTTCATCCACATTAGTCTTCATTGTTGTGTATCACCAAATGAGTTTGTAGATTAATGCAATAAACTTTCTAATGAAAACTTCTAAAATAGTGCTTATTCTTATATATGGTTCTATTGTTGATTAGTGAGAGGAAAAGAAGTATGAGCCGAATAGAAAAATTAAAACTTTTTCAAAATGTAGCCTCATAGCATGTTAACATTTATAAAAGTGTATCATTATGTTTAATTGCAACTTCCATGCTTTGTCTTCTGTGCTTACACTTTAAGAACAAAACAATGTTTAATTTTAATCCCTGGAACTCAGGCTAGTGTCAGCCACTCAGCGTTGGGTCTTCTTACAAAGAGCTTTAGGGTATCTTACATTGATTTGCTTCCTCTCCGTGTAATTTTCCAGTAATAATTAAAATATGTCTGAAGCATTCCTTTATAGCACTGAGTTTTAAGGATTGAATATGAATGAAATATCGTTTCTTCTCTCAATAGTTGCCTGTTACCTGGAGGTCTGACCACTCGGTACAATGAGGGATGATGCAGAAAGAGAGACAAGCGATTTCAAGCAATTGACTATTCAGCTAGGGAAATAAACCATGTGTGACCAGTGGTCTGACTTTGGTGTTATTTCACCTTTGAAAGCCTTGCTTTCTGCATTGCAGCATATTAGAAATAATAGTCATTGTTTTATACTTTTGTGAGGCTTCAATAACTTCATACTAACATTAATTATATCACAAAGAAGGACAGAGCAAGGAGAAAAAAATGAAGGAATAAGCAACACAGCCAAGCAACTCTGGACAGAACCCGTTGAAACTATAAGCCAACATCAATAATTCCTTCCATTAAGTTGTTTTCAGGTATTTTTGGCACGGTGACACAGAATAACTGACACAGAAAATTGGTATCAGAGGAGTAGGGTGGTTACTGTTGTATCTGAGCGTGTTTTTAAAGCCTTTTAACCAGTTTGTGGGAAGAACTTGGAAGAGTCTGCAGAGGCACAGTAGAGAAATTTTGGAATGCTGAAAGCAAAGCAATTTGGTGGGAGGTCAGAAGATCAGAATGAAATCAGAAATGTGGACAATAAAGGCTTCACTTAGGGATTTTCAGAGGAAAATGAGGAATCTACTGGGAATTGGAATAAGGGCCATTAGTGTTATATTCTGTTGAAGAATTTGTCTACATTTT